AACTAATTTGCTTTTGCATAAATTCCTGGTGCATGTTAAGGGTACTCTTACAAAATAGGATAATATTTTAAATAAAATGATTATGTAATAAAAAGACAATAAGCTTTTGGACATTTATTTTGTTTACTTATATTTTATAAGAGGACAAAAATTTTTAAGAGAGAGTGGGTGTATCTGGTGGACTAACACACTCACCTGCGCTAGGACCTGCGCAGTCGAGCGCCGTACGCGGGGATGAAGGAGTCCTGGAGGGTTAAACCAATTGTCACTGAGGTATATACTAGCGAGAGGCAACAGGCCATGGTGGCCCTGTTTGCCCTAGCCACAGGTAGGGAAATGGCCAAGCGCCCCGTCAGAGGGTCGCAGGCGACGGATGTGGGAGCTGCCTAGTTTCCTGAAATGAGCTAGGTGGTGGTAAAGGCCATGCTGATTGGAGCAAGTGACAGTCATTACGGCAACGGGGATGTGCCTTTTCCGCCCTGTCTGCCAACTGGATCAAACTCCCGATGTCGCACTGTGAGCCAACTTCGCGTCCCTATATTCCCCCGATAATCCTAACGCCTGAAATTCCTTTTGTTTTAAAGTAGGGCGTTCCCAAAGGCCCGCACCTTTGGGAACTCCATGGAGGGTGGGAAGCCGGGAGGACGAATTTTCAAACTAAATTAATAATGGACGATTTAAGGCCCAAAATAAAAGGAGGAGAGGTGTCAGAGGTGAGTACCAAAGGCACCAACACCCAAGGAGAAACTGCCAGTAAAATGGCGACGCCTCAGAGCACGTCATCAAGCGTGGATGGCCTTTTCAAGGGAACTTCCGCGCTGGACGCTCCTAAAATCAGTTCCTCGGAGCTGGATGTGGATAGGTAACAAGGGACCGCGAGTAGCAACACTCCTAGGGAACCCCTCAGAACGGAAGACCCTTTCTCAGCAGCCTGGCAATTGATGAGCCGTAAAGGGAAAGGCTAGGCACCCAAAAAGGTGACTAACCGACCCGACGGACCACCAAGTAAATCTATCCAGCCAGGGAGCGGAAGTAGGGTAAGAAAGAAGGACAGGAAGCAGAGAGAGAAAGCCCGTAAAGAAAGGAGCTGGCTGCTCCCAAAATCAATACTAAGGAGACAAAAATCCTGCCCAAGTGGAAGTTGCAGCTGTTGGAACCGGTTCCAAGAAATCCGCCAGGAAGTAGAGAGCGGCCAAGCGCCCCGTTAAGAAAGAAAGAGCAGCCAAAAGGACGCTGGACGAGACCACCTCGCCGAGAAGCGAGCATAAAAAGGTGAGACTATAACAGCAATCCAAGGCTGCAAAGACCAGCTATGCCTCTGCAGTTAAAGCTGAATTGTGTGTGGCCCTAACGTGTGCGCGTACGGGACACATCACAAAAGAAATAGCTGAAGACATCCTCATATCTATCCAGAGGAAAATGATCAGTGAGGCTTGGAGTAGCCAAGACCCTGAGGCGTCAGGCCCAGTCTTTAAAGGCAAACCCGTTTACACGGAGGGTGTCCTAAAGCTGTGGTGCGATGACCAAAAGGCTTTAGACTGGTTGAAGGGGAACATCAGTATCCTCGACCTCAAATCCAACACCTCGCTGGTCATGAAGAAGTCGGAGATACCACAAAGGGTCAAATGTGGTATCCTCATCCCAGACGCCCAGGGGGCCTGGAAAGACTCACGCGACATTGGTAGTGTGCTGGCATACTAGAAGCGCTGGGTAAATATAAAAGATTGGCTGCTGCTCAAGGCCGACAAACAGACGGAAGGATGGTTCCTCGTTGTTTCGGTTGCCACCACCATAAAGAAGCTTCAGCGTTACCAGAGACTGGCATGTATGGCTGCGACAGGCTGCATGAGAACTACGCCAACAGCAGCCTTAGAGACGATGCTGGGGCTAAGCCTGCTTCATCTACACATACAACAAGAAGCGACTTTAGCTGCCATTAGACTCAAGACCCTAAATCTTTGGAGTAAGAATAGAGGCCCTCATACAGGACAAAATTGACAGAATTCACTCAAAAATTCCTATCTTACAAGCCAAGTATGATAAGATCCATAAACAATTTGTATTTGATAAAAAGTATAAGATACTATTAAATGAAACCAGTCAGCCGGATGGATTAAGCCCAAAAGAGCTTAGAGTCTTCACCGATGGTTCCAAAAATAAAGGTGTAGGATCTAGAACTTTTTCTGAAGACCTCAACATCCACATATGCACACCGCTGGGTACCTACAACACAGTCTTTCAGGCGGAATGTATGGGTATCATTCAAGCGGCTGAGCTGCAATGAGGTGACACCAACAATTAAATGAGGTATGTAAACACAACAATGTGACTCTGCATTGAATAAAGGGACACAGTGAATCCAGAGGCAACCATGCAGCAGACGAACTGGCCAGAAGAGGATCGGCTCTGGCCACTATAGGACCAGAACCAATTATACCAATCTCCTTTGGTAATGTTTGTTCACTGGTACGTAGACACTACACTAATCAACACGCTCAACTTTGGAAAAATCTAGTAGACTGTAGACAAGCTAGGGAGGCCCTGCTTGAAATAAACAGTTGTTTAACCAAGGTTCTAATGAGACTGAATAAGCCGCAGATCAGGATAGTAACAAGTGCTATCACAGGACATGGTAACTATAACAAACATTTATTTACCATAGGTGTTATGGACAGTCTCCTGTGCAGGGCATGGGGGAGGAACTCCTGAAGTTGCTTGCAACATCAAAGGACTGTTAAACTTCTTCGGGGAGATTTCATGGCTCTAATAAATACATTATTCCTGCCCACACGCAAAATACACGCTTAGACGTGAATAAGTTAAGGCAGTACAATTTAAGATCTAGTACCAACAAAGCATCTCTATTCATGTAACATCCTATCCTATTTTAAATGGCGACCCTGCCAGGTGACAATGCATGCGCACCGCCGGGTCTAGTTAAAAGGTGGGAATAAATATTACTAACGTGTCGTGGGGGCTACACTACACCTCCCTCCTAAATCTAAAATATGGCTTAGATTATAGTTTTCATAAATATATTCATTTATTACATTTAGTATAATTTTAAGGATAGATAAAAAAAAATCAAAGCATTAATTTTATTATTTTGTCGGTGGGAGGTGTAGTGTAACTCCCACAAAATATATATATATATATATTACTGTAAAGGTAGAATAAAAGCAGTAGAATTAAAGTCTTCAACTGAATAACACATCTACTATTCATTAATGCACTTCCTACATTACAGTGCTTCTTTTTAAAAGGCCTACAGCGCTTGTTGTGAGAACAGTGTAGCTTTCTTGACCTTTAAAAAAGTACTTTGTAAAAGGGTAAGTTTGAATAAAATGTATAAATATAACAAATAAATAAATAAATTACAAATGTAAAATGTTAGGTAATCTATTTTTTATGGTGTTCCACACTTCTGATTTTATTATTATTGTAATATTATAATTTCCTTACAATGTATTACTTCCTTGTTTTCTTGGCTAGTCTTTTTCAGTAAAGTGGCTTTATGCATTTAGTGTAAAGTATCATGTTTTAAAACAAAACTTATAAATAAAGGATTTGAATTGTCCTTTGCCTAAGAATCCACATGCTTAATAACCTAAATGCTAATCTATATTGAATGCTCAGGAAACAAAAAGATCAAGTTTTTATTGTAATTATACATGATAGTAATCCATCCAAATAAACAATAAAGTGTAAATTTTGTGTAGTCAGTAGGTCAGGCTTATCCACTCCCGGACCAGCAATGGTCTGTTACCAGGCCTATAATATACAATCATAGATGTTTATAAATTTACAAGAGCTGATTCAATGCCAGCCTTCTCAGTATTTACCATTCATGTGGATAATTAGTAGTTTTAATTAGTTACAGATATTGACTGACCAAAGACCAATTTTTACAATTACATCTGAAATAAAATAAATCCTATTCATTTACTTAATGTTTGTTCGAGCATTTAAAATGGCAATAAAAAATTAATCTCACAGGTATGACATACTCTGGTAACTTACATTATACAAAATCTAAGGTAAGTGTGCAGAACCTAATCTCGGGACTACCAGTTTTTAAAAAAAAATATTAACAAGGTAAATTCATTTAAATAAATAAGTATTGTGTTTTATTTTTTGTAATTTATAAGAAAGTTCATTCATTGCAACCTATTCAATCCACTGCTGAATATAGGCTTCTCCCATAGATTGCATAATTTTGCCATACCATACTTGGCATATTAACAGTGGTAGAGCCACGCGGCAGCTTTTGCTGTCGCACGGATGGGCCGGCTCGAACCGAGGTGGTACCAAGACCTCACAGAAAACCAGTGTGAAGTAGAGGTTTACCTCTGCGTTTCGCTTGGTGAGTGCAGGTGGCCGGAGGCCCTTTTTACTGCAAATGAGGCATTCCATCTTAGTCCTCACGGGTGACAACGCATCTACATTTTGATTTGTAAGAGAGGATGTTTGATATGTAGATGTCTATGGGGCGCAGAAACCACTTACCATCAGGTGGACTGTGTGCTCGTGTGTCACCCTTGTCCTATAAAAAAAAATGTGGGTTGGCAACTTCAGTTTTTTTATTAAGTTCCCTCTACTAACTCTTATGACACCCACAGGAAGAATACCAAAAATCTTCTGTACTTCATACCATTTATAAAACAGTGCAGAAGTGAGTGACAAAATAGATTATTTTTGAAACCAAAATATCTATATCATAATTATCATCTTTTTCGTCTTGGAGCTTGTTAAGGTCTACTGCTGGACATCAACCTCTACAATTGTAAGGCAGATTTGACTTGTCGCACATGACAGGTAGAAAAAATATTGTCGTACCAGAACACCCGACTGTGATTTTATCATTGCATCACCATCTTAGGAAGTTTTAATATATACACATCAATCATTATTGGTTGCAAAGATAAAATTACATAATACATATTCAATAAACATCAAATAGTTATTCGCCCTCATAACATAAAGTGAATGTGTGTAGTTGTTCAACTGAATCGAAAGTTACGTACAAAGTTTCGCAAATGTTCGACTGCTTCTAGTAGCAGTTCCTGATGACCAATGATATGGATTCCGAGGTACTCAAGATCATCACAGCGGAGCGTAAGTAATTTCGACCCGTTCAGGCCGCGTTGCCGCAGCGCCGGGACATAGCTAGCCACCGTCGGCCCCAACCCTGTACAGATACTCCGTGACTCACCGCACAAAAACAATTGAATCAAATCACAATGCCATTTACAAACCCGACAACCACTCAGCCACCTGGTCCGGAGACCACTCGGCAATATTTAAACTTCCCATTAGAACTATGTTAACTGTTTACTTATAAATTTATCACAATGCATTATAAAAAAAAACTTAAGTTGTCTAACTCAAACAAAATATTATCAGGCGACAGGGAAGAGCTGATGTTTATTGTCAGACGTCATTTTTTTTTTGGAGTTTATGGCCTGGCATCTAGACCTTTAGGCCAATATTGTCAGACGTCAAAGTCAGACACAGGGTTGCCAACTTTATTTTTTAGGAGATCGTACCATAAACTGAAAAAGATCGTATTTTGCTAAGAACTCAACAAAAAATATAGTACGCATCAATATTTCAATAAAATAATGGTAAAAAAATACAAAATAATATTATTATAACGTCAAAGCAAAACTATACATTTAGAGTACATATTATAACCATATAACAATTAAGCTGTTTTTATTATTCGCTCGAAAGAGCAGGCAAAGGAACTATGCCATACAGCCTTGTCTTTTTTATTTTGAGTACATAGAATTTCACTAGTTCACAATATGTTGATGCGTCACATTGTGCAGCCCTTGGGAGATTTTGACGGCAACTTGAGCCAGCAGACAGCTGACTGTTGGCGATGGTATCTAAAGGCGCCTATGCAAACAAACAGCTTATCTTGAGAATCCATCACCATCAGCGCACTTGTTTCACCATTTCTACTAATAGTTCACATGCGTAGACAGTTAATACATAAAATCGCACCACTTTTATATATCAAATTCCACTTCAAACTATTATTTAAACTATAATACAGGAGCAGCAAACCGCCGCCGGTCAAGTTCCCGCCAAAACTCTATAACAATTAAGAATCTGACACTAAACTTTACTACTTTTTTTTATTAAAAAAAATAGGATCGGATTGTGTTCACTCTGCCATCTTTTACAAAAAATATGTAATATATGATTATCTGCGTAGGTAGTTTAATATTATTTCGATTAGAACGAATAGAATGACTTAAAACTGACTCGAAGAAAGGCGGTTAAGGTGAAAGCTTCCGGCGGTTAAGGTGAAAAATCCCTTTGACTGAGTTTTTCTGGAAATAGCCATACAATGGGATTATACGAACTTAGAGGGTTGTATTGACGATTATAATGATTATAATTCTGTAAACGCATTACTCGCTACGACCGCGAATCATATTTTGTTAAACATATAACCTGACACTGACCTGCAAATTGCAAAAAAACGTAAGAAAATTTGAATTTCGCGGGCTACCCTGTAGCTTCTTCCTTAAACTGCGCGAGGAATAGAGAGTTTAAAAAATTATTGGATTGGATGCGTTCATGAAAAATTACAAAGTAGAAGTTTAGAGCTCGTTCAATTTTGAAATTATTGATTTTTCATATCGATAAAATGAACTTAATCAATTATCGTTTTTATTTTGTTATAAAGATTATAAGATTTGAAAAGATCGTATATTTTGGGTACGATTTCGAATACATGATCGTACATCGTACTAGGGCCAAATAGATCGTATGAATACGATTTAAATCGTACGGTTGGCAACACTGGTCAGACAGTTTGAGACAATGTCAAAACTCATTTTTTATTTTTTGGAGTTTATGGCCTGGTATCTAGACCTTTAGGCCAATGTCAGAACTCAGTACTGAATTTGTGCTGCCACTAAACTAAATTACTTGTTTTATACCGCTTGTTTTCTGAAACTACACAAAACTAAATCTTAACATTCATACCACACACCAAAAATATAGTTGGGAAATAATTAAATAGTATTATTTATTTACTATTAATACTAAAGAATACGGGTAAATATTCACGTTAGCATTAGAGAGTATTATTTCGTACTTCTGAGTGGAGCAAATTTAAAAAATTGCTGCTTGTAGAGTTGCGTTGAGTGCCGCCGGTTCAAATCGTGCATTAGGTTGTTCTAGTATTATCCATGATCTAAAAGTTATTGCACAATAGGTTGCCTTAATTTCTGAATGCACTAGACGTCAATATTTTTGCCTCTTTTTCACATATTTCGACCTCGTTATAGAGAAAATCAATAAGCTACCAAAATATTATGCCTATTTCAACACGGTGGCAAAGCTAGGACTCCAAACTAGGGTAAGCCCAAGATGGTTTTGTTGCTTTTAGCAATTTTATAAAAATACACTAATCTTGATCTGTCTCCACTCTTCAGTTTCATACTCAGTGCTGTCGAGGACGTGTTTAACAAAGCGCACAGAAGCCATACTACTGCTAGATAGATTGTATGACATATTAGCAGTTTAATTAATAGAATCAGGCGTTACTTTGCGGAAATCCATTATATAAAAGCTTTTAGAAAAATTTACTTCGCAAATATCCGCGTTACAATATCAGCAGTTGCATACCTTCGGTGGCTTTGAAAAAGCCGTTTGGGTTTGCTTGAACAAAAGAAAAAGATATTTACATACAATACAATACATGAACAAAAGAAAAGCATGAACAAAGTACAAACAAATTATATACAAAATAAAAAATAAAAAAAATATTTATATTCTAAATCGAATCGTCTCGCTTTCTTAAGAAAAGATTTGATTACGCCTGCGTAAAATGTTGATGAACGTTTTAATTGTACCAATAACTGTTTATGTGAATATGAGCTGTTTTTTCTGAACAAAGTTTAAAGACCTTTCCCTCGCTGATTAGCACTTTAACACACATCAATTCATCAGAAGGATCACTTTTATCCCACATTTGCATTAAAAATCTTTAAAAAAGCATTAAAGTAAACACACAAAGTAAACATTAAACGTATCACTCGCGCGCCCCCGCGCTTGACTAACTTCATATATAAACCCAGGCTTATCGCTCCATACTAATTGCTATAATATAAACTATCGTAGTTATATTTCATTATAGTCCGGCCGCTGAGTTATTACCGATTTGACACATGACGAATTGACAATACTAGTGAAGTGACTGAACCAGTAACCCTAATATCATTTGGGAACAGTTTGTTTTTAAATATTCTAGTATAGTGTGTAATTAAATAAAATCAAAACAATAATAGTTAAAGACACAGGTTCTTTATTAGGTGGAGTATCCTTGATGGGCGTAGATAATTGGTCGAAGACATATCAAAATAAAACAAATTTGTAAACACTGTTACACATTTTAATGAATAGAGTAGGTACAAGATGTTTTAATAAATGACTACCTATCATTTATTAAAACAATTATTCAGACTCTGAACCAGATTCGCCAGAGCTGTCATCGCTATCAGTCACTTGTATGACAATTTCATTCTCTATAATGGTGTCCACTCTTATATCGCGTTCATAATCTTCTGTTATTAGTTTTCGAGTCTTTTCGACGACCTTGACCCAATCTTCTTTCGTTATTTTGCTGCAAGCATCTTTTAATAGACCCATCATTTTATTAGTACTGAATGGCGAAGTCGTATTATTACGAGCTGCGTAACCTGTAGTGTAAACATTAAATAACGTTAATTTATTACATTAAATAAACGAAATGTTACACAATTACCTACATGTAAGGGACATGAGATATTTATTTCTTAGTTATGTATCTTTTTAATTATATGCTGAATATTGGATGTTATAATAGTACAAATTATTCATATTCATAACTTATGCGATAAAAAACAATACCTTTGATTTGTGCCCATATTAGCTCAATGGCATTGTACTGGCAGTGATAAGGCGGAATTCGAAGTACCCGATGTCCATGTGCTAGAGCTATCTCATCTACTTCATAACGGACTATTGATGTTTTATTTTCGCGTACCAACTTTACTAAGTCAGACTTTAGCATTTCGGCAGTAGTTTCAATTCCATTTTGGTGTAGCCATGCTACGAGATCAGCTTTCTTGTCGGCCTGAGTAGGCGCTTTATTCACTTGTTTCGAGTGATATGAAGCGTTGTCCATTATTATGATAGAAGGCTCTGGCAGGCTGGGTAATAATTGATTTTCGAACCAATTTGTAAAAGTGTCAGTATCCATCTCCTCGTGGTAATCGGAAGTACTTTTTGACGCGAAAGCCAGCAGTCCATTTTCAAAGAAACCACTTCCAGCAGAACCGGCGTGACAAATTATCAGTCGCGATCCTTTTCCAATTGGAACCTTTGAGGTTGATGCTTTTGTTTCGTCAGTCCAAGAGCGTGACACAGTGTGGTTCGCATTTAACCATGTTTCGTCAACAAAAACGACGTTGTCCCAAGACTCGATTTTTCTGGCTTCTCTTAAAAACTCGCTCCTTTTAATTATTAAATCAAATCTTTCTATTAATATTTTCCTTTTATTCGTTTTTTTTATATTCAAACCCAATTTCGTGCAATAGTTTTGACAACGCCGTTTTACCGCCTTTAAACAAGCCAGTTTCTTTTAAAGAGACCAAAAGCAAACGTCTAGTTGGAAACTCGTTCCTAGTATAATAACCATATATGTGGTTTCTTATTGCATCTGCATCAAAAACATCAACACCTGTCACGGGCTTTTGTCTTCGTTTTTTCTTAGGAGTGCGTAAAGCATTATCTTCACTTCCAGAAGCACCAAATTTTTCTTTATTTATATTATATAGTGTTTTTGCACCAATTCCAAGAGCTTGTGAAAATCTTTCACTTGAGTGACAGGAATCAAAGGGCCGCCATTTTGTGACTCACGCTCAAAGTAATCCTGAAGCTTTAGTACAAGCTCACGACATTGACTATTCAATGTTTTTCCTCGTTTCGGCATTTTAAACAAAATTACCAAACACAAACAAAATTAGTCCAATAAAGCGCAACGATAAACAAGAGAAAGCCGAGTCAAAAAACAACGGTTACACAAGAGAACGTAGTCTGTGCGCACGAGAGTACGGAAGACGACTAAACAGATTAAAATAGCGGTGGTAAGGGTGTTGCCAAAATAGTATCGCCAATTACTTAAAAAAATACACCTATAACATTGCTTAATTGAGGGAGAAAATTATATTTATTAAATGTTGTTTTATATATTATGAATGTTAAAAATTATACATAATCATTTTAATTGTACTTATTTTTAAATCATAGAA